TTATTGACAGATGGTGGCAGAAAAGGGAAAACGTTATAAGTTCATTATCAATTTTTGTTCATTTTCTTTCATTTTGTATCATTTATCTATGAAAAATCTTCCTTGATGTTGATATTTTGATAGTTGTGAGTTTTTGTGAGAATCATTATAGACCTGTTGGCAACCCTGTTCGAGAAGCTGCAGCTACCCTAAAGATGTTTTTCATTATTATCATTTCAGAAACGGTGTCAGATGAAATAATAAAATATATTTACTCACTGAATGGAAAGTAGGCGTTTGTTCCCTTATTTAAAGAAACAAAGCTGTCAATCTACTCCCACGGGAGAAAAATAAATATTACCTCACGTGGAAGGTAAAATACAGACTGTTTATCGAATTGTTACATACTCATCGGAGTATTAAGATAGGATACAAGCGTCTATCTAGACCTGCAAATCTTCAAAACCTTAAGGTTATCAGAAGGTTATTCGTGTTTATAAGAATAAGCCCTAACAACACCAGTACATCCTAAGGACTTCCCAGGGAAGTCCCTGATTTTATACTAGGACATCCCAGGGATGTCCTTTGTCGGGACAACGTGCATACTAGGGATGTCCCAGGGACCACCAAAAAAGGCATCCAAGGGATGTCCTTCTGGTACGTCCCTGGGATGTACCAAGTACGATAAAAGGATATCCTTAGGACGTCCCAAGGATATCCCAGCGACATCCTTTCGACAAAAGAAAAAAGTTGTAGGTCGAGTAGGGATTGAACCCGGGACCTTTGGCTTATCATGCACGCACCTTGCTCCATGCCTCCTGAAGATTTATGTACTGAACAGATTTATAAACAGGACTTAACTACAGAAACCTGAATAAATACAACTTTGTTAGGAATTGAGTATAATTATTATCATTCTTGGGTGTTCAAAAATCCTTCAGGGAAACGAATAGGATAACCTAGGGATGTACGGGGCGGGATGTCCACTGGACAACTACTGCAGGACATCCCCTGGATGTCCCAATCATGTCCTTGTACCGCGGGACAAAAAAGGGACGTACCTAGGACATCCCTGTGTTGTTAGGAAGGTAATATGAGGGAGGACAATATCACTTCTACATGAAAAAGGAAAGTACTTTCAACCTAACTTGTCCTAAATGAACCTTTTTCCTGAAAAGTATATTTTTAAAAATTACTTGTGTGAAAAAAAAAATTAAAAAAAATTGACGTCTTGCAGGAATTGAACCCCAGTCACCACCGTGGAAGTCAGATACATAGACCAATATAAGCTATCGCTTTACTAGTAGTAGTCGTAGTTTCTCAACATAAAGAAGGAAGAAATATGATGTGTTATGGGTGACGTCACTTGACCTGGACACCTGACTTCCACAGTGGTGACATGGTATTCAATCCCTGCGAGGCGTCAATTTTTTTAAAAGAGGTTTTCACTCAAATAATTTTTCAAAAATATACTTCTCAGGAGAAAAGTTCATTTAGACCAAGTTAGGTTGAAAGTACTCTCCTTTTTCATGCAGAAGAGATATTTTCCTTCCTCATATTACCTCATTCTTATAAACACGAATAACCTTCTGATAACCTTGAAGTTTTAACGATTCGCTGGTCTAACCTACTATTATTTGCTTGTATGTTTCACATGGTGTCACTATGGTGGCCAGTGTTGCCAGGTCTACCGTTTTTGCGGAAGATCTACAGTTTTTATAGTGTGAATCACCACTCTACCGCAGAGCCTCCTATATATATATACCGCTGAAATTTTCATTCATACTTCCGAATTGATTTATACCTTTTTAGTTAATTTCACTCTGATTTAATTGGATTATAAAAATAAATGGATATCCACGACGGAGATATTAGAATTTATTAATTGCGTGAGGCAACATATCTATTGCAGTAATAAGAACTACGAGTTCTATCGCCGACGGCGTATTAAGTATTACTGCACTGATGAGTCAACTACTACATTAATCTCTGATGGTATTATGTTTATTTTCAAATCTATCGCTTTTCATGTCAAATCTACTTCTTACCTCATTCTCCACCTGGCAAGACTGATGAAGAAATATGGTAGTCGAATCAGTCTCTCTTGCTATGTTGCCATTTACATATGCCCTCTATGTGTAACAATTTGGCAAACAATCTGTCTGTTGGCTTCAGCAACCTTCTTAGGCGTCTATACAGAGTGTTTCACAGGTAAAGGGAAATTGGGAAATATTTCAATGGTAGATAGGGGTCACCAAGGTGGTGAAAAAACTGAATTGGGTTTGATGCTTTTTGTTTTCCCGCCACCAATTCTCATCGTAACAATCATAAACAGAAAGTTGAGAGTATGTCAGTTTGAAGAGTATTGAAATTATGAAACCAGTGTCAATTATGATTATTCGATATATTTTGGTCAAAAAATCGCTCGAAAGAACTTACTAAGTCTCACAGTTTTTATAACGGAGATACAGGGTGAATTATCGGTTTTGGATAATTATTCACTCGTCCATAAGTATAAAACTACCCAGTAACATTTCCTCAAATTTGGTATATGTAACTTACTTGAGACGATGGATTCATTAACCTATCAGAAGGAATGGAAATAATACCAAATAATTATAATTCGATAATTCACCCTGTATCTCTGTTATAAAGACTATGAGACTTTTCCTGAAGCTGAACATTTCCATACTTCTTATGGACCAGTGAATAATTATTCGAAACCGATAATTCACCCTGTATCTCTGTTATAAAGACTGTGAGACTTAGTAAGTTCTTTCGAACGATCATTTAACAAGAATATATCAAATAATCATAATTGGAAGTGGTTTCATAATTTTGATACTCTTGAAATTGACATACTTTTAGCTTCCTGTTTATGATTGCTGTTATGCTGAGAATTGGTGGCGGGAAAACAAAAAGCATCAAATCCAGTTCAGTTTTTCCTCTTCTTCACGATTCCTTTGATGAACTCTGTCAATTATTACTTACAGTGTGTTATTTTAATATTTCGAATAAATGTGAATTTTTCCTGAAGCCGAACCTGGATTTTCACTTCGCCCGATAGGTGAATGAATTCAACGTCCCAAGTATACGCTCCATACCAAATTTTAGAAAAATATACTGGATAGTTCAATACCTATAGACGAATGAAGAATTATTCGAAATCGATAAATCGCCCTGTATCTCCGTTATGAAGACTCTAAGACCTATCAAATATGGTTTTTTCAGAACCACCTTGGCGACCCCTATCTACCATTGAAATATTTCCCTTCACCTGTGAAACAATCTGTATAATTGTATGATAACGTGCAATCCATTAATAAGTAATCATAGTGCCTTCATATCACTATTATAAAATAAATAACAATTTATTATTGAAATTCCCAAAATCTTATACATTTTCCTCATACTCCAAAACGTACCTAATCAGTACTTTCAAATGCAGTTACCCAATTTACAAATGCATTAATTCATGATAATTCTTAGAATAGAATCAGCATCAGAATAAACCAGAACAAATAATTACTAAATAATAGATTGAATCAACAAAATATCAAATCAATTTATTTGCATATGTATTTTCTCCAATAATTAGTAAGCGAATCAAAGATATTTTCAAGAATTATTCACCTAATTCACTGCAAACACCAACAGGAAATCTATTACAAATTTATAAAACGATCTATATCCCCCAATTACTTCAATCTCCACCGCATCCGCCGGCATGAAATCTCTTACATCTTGGCACACGATCATGATGCTAAAACATATTGAAGATTCAAACATGATATAATTAGATCAACTTTCAAATTTCCTGGCAACAGCTCCTCCACTCCTTGCTCTGACATAGCCTCTGAAAAACATTGCCAATTATTATCATTCACGAGATTTCAGAAAAAAAAATACTCACCATTTGCTTCAATCATTGTTTTGTTTTATCAATTCAAGAAGTTATCGTTGAACTGAGGTTCCAACTCGCTCCGTGCATTTTCATTAACAATTTGAATGACAAATCTAGGATCTAGGAGGAAAAAGTTTAGCATCATCTTCAATGATAATGTTTTCCATGGAAAATTTCCAGAAAACTGTAAGCAACAATCAGACATCAGACGGGTTGGAAAAAGTACTATAATGTGTATTCAAGGAGTCTGTTTGTTTGTGTTTGCTCTATACCTGCTAAACTTGATTTGTTTCTATGACTTTCTCTGTTTACATCATGCCATGAACAGAGACACCTATGGAAACAAAATCAACTTTAGCAAGTTTCGCAACACAAACGAACAGACCTAATACCAGATTAGATAACATCGATCAACTGATGGATTGTCGTACGTCATTGGTCGTACGCTCATACACAACCACCCAAGGTCTATTAACTTCTATAATATATTTCATGCTGATTTCAGTGTAGAATTGAGCATTTCTCCTTCTCCAAAGTCAAACTAGAGTAGTTACATTTTTTCATTAAAAAAAACTCACAATTTTTCATTTTTGTGGTGAAATTGCAAACATATTATGTCGTCAAAATTACTCTGAGCTTGTCCTGTTCAAAACACGCCTGAACAAGAATCATTTATTTATTCACATTTTTGAATTCAGCCTAAAAAGTGGTGAACAGCAACATTGCCTAGCAGTTCCTAGCATTGAAATTACATTTTTGTTCATGGATATTTTTAATATTTTCTCATAGTTATAACATGCATAATAATGGGGTATTCTAAAGCTAGCAATAGGTAATTGAAAAAATAATTATGTATCTACAGACTCAATTTCATAATTTTTTATTGAGAATTTCAGCAAATGAGAAGTAAAACCTTTGTTGAACTTGGTAGGTACTTAGTTGTTTGGTCAAATTTTTAAAATTGTTTTATCATCTCCAAAGATTATTATAATCATGGTAGATTCAGTAGATTCCTATAAGTCAATTGGAACACTACCTCCTATTTTCAATAATGTAAAAACTATGAAAAAAACATGTTTATTCTCTTAATAAAGTTTATAAATAATGTAATGGTCTATCAATGCCTCCTGCTGCGTTTCTTCGACTTTTTGGCCCCCTTAACGAAACACCAGTCCACCCCTATCGTCTGCCCCAACAGAGCCGACCCATTCAGGGCCTCTCTAGCACTAGCAGCATCCTCATAGCTCCCATACTCAATCAAAGCATACCCCTTCAAGAACCCCGTCCGCCTGTCTAAATTGATGCTGATGTTCTTGATGGTACCGTACTCTGAGAACTTCTCGTTGAGGTCATCCTCGGTGGCTTCTTCATGGACAGAGGTCACGAACAGAATCCAGCCTTCCACGGATTTTTGGGGCCCTGGTTCGTCGCCGTGTTCTCCGGCTTCAATGGACTCGTAGCCCCTTATTTTTTCGTGCTCTCGGCCCTCGCCGGGGCCGAAGCCGCGGCCCTTGCGTCTCACGACTTTGTCTTTGAGGCGGAGGACGCTCTGCTCGCCGTCGTCTTCCACGTCGATGTCGACGGCGTCGTTTATGTCGAGGACGTCGGCCATTTCTCCTTAGTCAGTGCCCAGTGGTTGATTTACCACCGATCTATTAGGCGATTTATGTTGTTTTTGTTTGTGTATAAGGAAAAGAATCTTCCTGTTTGGAAATGTTTATTTCTTATTTTGTAGTTGAAGTTTGAAGGGACTAAAGTGACAACTGACTGCAAAAAATGTACGGAAAACACTACAGGTCTGTTCGTTTGTCCTTGCTCTACCTGCTGAACTAGATTTTTTTCTATGACTCTCTATTTACATCATGCCATGAACAGAGACAACTATCGGTAAAAAATCAAGTTTAGCAATACAAACGAACAGGCCCTACATGTGTCTAATATACATCTAATGTGTCTAATATACATCTACATACCATCTAATTACAGTGGTGTTGGAATGAAGTTGATTTGGTCTGGAGGTGCAAGTGCAACTATGGTGCATTGATATCGGAACTCGTGGTTGTTTGAATTCTTGCGGTGATAGTGATGTTGGAATGAAGTTGATTTTTGTAAACGCTCATCATCTCGCTTTATCGCATATTATTATGTGAACAGAAATATATATTCAACGATACAAAAGAACAGACCTAGGAAACAAGTGGTCTGAATTTCCAGTCTGTAGTGACGTCACACTGCCTGCGATTCGGTATTCCAGAGATGTATAGAAATTTAACTTTCTATACATCTCTGGCATTCCTCTTGGCGAGGCGACCTTGAATAGTTGTGAGACCTGTTTAGTGTCTGTTATCAATCTTAGATTTCCATCAGGAAGATGTAAGCTCTCAATCAGAGCATTATATTCATCTTGAGCAATTTGAGTCTTTCACTCATGTTAACCATAAAAAAATAGCCAACATAAACGCTGACCTAGGATACATGTCCGAATTTTCCGATGTGTACTGACGTCACTTTGTCTGCCATTTCGACTTTCGAGACTCCTCTTGAGCGAGAACAGTTAGTTGAGTCACATGATCATGCGACCTAAAATAGTTATGAGAAACCTGTTTACTCAATCATTAACATACTCATTCATCATAATTCCATTCTTGCTTGAGTTAAGTACATTAAAGCCCTTCCTAAGCAGCTTTACAAGATTTACACCGGTGTGGATTGTACTTTCCAAATGAACAATCGAATACGGTGGAAGTTACTCAGAATGCTACACTTTTCGTGCAAAAGAATGAACCTTTATGATCTGAGATCATTTGTTTATGTTTTTTGACATTTGATTTGAGAAGTGAGGTTAGGAGGGTTTGTTTTTGAAGGTTTTTGTTGTTGAAGTAGTTGAGTGTAGTTGAGTAACATTTTAATAGATTTGTGATATTCAATTCTATTTCTGTAGGAAAAACCAAAAAGCTAATAACATGATTGTGAAACAACTAATTTTTCTAGTGATCTTACATGCTGTTTCGTCCAAAAGTCAGGTAGATATTAGTATTATGGACTGAGTCACAAATTGAATTAAATTTATCAATATTCCAGAGTAGTTTTCCCAATAAAGGACACACGAATAACTGGGCAGTTTTAGTGGACACCAGTAGATTCTGGTTCAATTATAGGCATGTGGCAAACGTGTTGTCCATTTACAGAAGTGTTAAGCGTCTTGGTATACCAGATAGCCAGATAATTCTGATGATTGCTGATGATATGGCTTGCAATCCTAGGAATCCTCGTCCGGCAACAGTATTCAATAACGCCAATCAACACATCAATGTATATGGTGATGATGTGGAAGTTGATTACAGGGGCTATGAGGTAAAAAAAAGCAAACCACCCTTCATTTGTGTTGTTAATTTATATTTCAGGTTACAGTAGAAAATTTCGTGAGACTTCTAACTGGGAGGCTTCCTCCTGGTACCCCAAGATCAAAACAGTTGCTGACTGATGAAGGTAGCAATGTTTTGATTTACTTGACAGGCCATGGAGGTGATGGATTCCTGAAATTCCAGGATTCAGAGGAAATAACTAGCCAAGAGATGGCTGATGCTTTAGAACAGATGTGGCAAAAGCAGAGGTATAGAGTTAATCTTTCATACTGGGCTAGTGCAAGTGTTATTTTTTTGTAGGTACCATGAAACATTCTTTATGATTGATACTTGTCAAGCAGCTTCTATGTATGAACGATTTTATTCACCTAATATTCTAGCAGTAGGAAGCAGTTTGGTCGGTGAAGATTCTCTCTCTGTAAGTGGAGTACTGCATAAAATTAATAATTGCTTTCTTCAATTCAAGTTGTTAGCCACTGATTTGATTCAAAAAAATAATGAGATATGTTGCATTCATTCCATAGTCCTTCGTCAGCTGTCCGACATTTTTTATAGTGTAACTTTTCATTAATTATGTGATGTGACTTGTTACAAGAAGGGCTGAAGAGATGTATCTTATCTTGAAAACTACAGGAAATCATGTCTAACTTTCAATCCAAGCCAGGAGTTAGGAATTTTTTCCATAGTTTTCATGTCATCAAATCAGATTTCAACATAATTGGTGCTTTTTCCTTTAGTTTTATAACTAAGACCAAGTGCAAAACCAATAGAATTCTTCTGCATATCAAAAAATTATATTTTTCAAAAAGAATATTCATGAAAAAATATCCCTAGTGAAAATTTCTTGTTGTTCTTGAGAAAGGTTGCTACAGCAAAAGTATTTTTCAGCACCATGTAGACCCTGCTATTGGTGTTTATATCATTGATCGCTACACCTATTATGCCCTGGACTTTTTGGAAAATGTGGATCTTCAGACAAATAAATCTGTGGGGGAATTTGTAAGTATTCTGTTCAATTATTCTATTATTTAATCAATATAACATGTACTATACACTTTTATTACTCTATTATTCACAGAAATATTTATTTTGCTGATTACATTTTGAAACTATTTAGATGTTCCATCACTTGTTTACTAATTCAATTATAAAGCTACTGCTTCAACTAATTCATTATACCTATTATTAGTTTCCAAATTCAAAAGCAATTATTCATTTACTTATTCAATCATTGCACATCAGTAGATTTACAAATTTTCTGATTTACCCATTTTTACTGACCATTAATGAATTGATAGTTTATACTACTCACCTGATTAATCATTTACTGATTCAAATTATAATAGATTTGATAAACCATACAAGTATTTACTTATTGGGTCATTCACAAAAATAATTATGCTAATTCAATCATATACAGAATGACTTGTTTGATTCACTGTATATTTTTCATTTTCAACCTCATTTTCAACAGATCAAAGCAATCATTCAAAATCTGGTGACATGTACAATTATTATACAGGGTGGTTTGGGTACTCCACACATTAGTATTTCATGCATTCCCTTTACTTAACTCAAACCGCCAATAAATTATTCAATACAATTCAACTATATATTTTTCTCAGTGTATACACTGTATACGGTGGTGTTATTCAAATAACAAATTTTAAGCCATCAAACATCAAAAGCTGCTTTCACATCTGGGTAGGTAGTAGGGAAATCTGTGGCATAGGTGTCTAGAAAAGCCAAACATTTCTCCACAAGATGAGACATCTCTTGATTTTCATTGACAGCTTTTATTTAACTTGCAATGCATACAGGGTGGCCCACGGTCGATGGTACCTTAGACGTATACGGAAAACGGTACATTGGATTATCCTGAAAATTTGGTTACTCTAATAAGCGTTTGTGATCTAACGATTCAAAATATTTTCAGCGAAGCAGCGTTGCCACTTTTACCAAAAAGTAGCATCATCTTTGTTATTTCAAATGGAACACTCTGTATTTTATTGCGTTTTTAGATTCTTCTCGAAGAGCTGATTTCATCAATGCATCACACTTGGGGTCTAGCAGGAATTATTACAGAAATATAGGGTGTTCAAAATCGAGATTTTTCAACTTTAGGATTTTTTTGTGTTGAAACTATTCATCATTGGTCAAAACGGCTTATATGTCCCTGTATTTACTTTTGATTAACTATCTACCGACATTTAATTGGAAAAAATACAGGATGGTCCAAGATTCAGAATTTTGATCACCCTGTATCTGTTCCAATTAACTGTCAGTAGATAGTGAATCAAAAGTTAAGATAGGGACATGTAAGCCGTTTTGATCGATAATGAATAGTTTCGACACAAAAAATTCCTGGAATTGAAAAATCTCGATTTTGAACACCCTATATCTCTGTAATAATTCCTGCTAGACCCCAAGTGTGATGCATTGATGAAATCAGCTCTTCGAGAAGAATCTAAAACCGCAATGAAATACAGGGTGTTCCATTTGAAATAACAAAGATGATGCTACTTTTTGGTAAAAGTGGCAACGCTGCATCGCTGAAAATATTTTGAATCGTTAGATCACAAACGCTTATTAGAGTAACCAAATTTTCAGGATAATCCAATGTACCGTTTTCCGTATACGTCTAAGGTATCATCGACTGTGGGCCACCCTGTATATTGATGTATGTATGTTAGTTCCGGTGCAATTTTTGAACTCAATTTTGAAGTAGATATCTGCAACGGATTGAGCTGAAATTTTGTATTCACGTTTAGTTTGGATGACAATGCACGATAAAGTGTGTGAAGTTATTCTAAATCCAATATGGCGGACCATCCAAGATGGTGGAATAGTTATTTTTAATGCACTTCTACAATATGGGTATCAAATGATCGAAAGGGCTTGTTGGGAAACTCGAAAAATAATGTGACGTCATTCTGAATTCAATATGGCGGACTATACAAGATGACGGAATAGATATTTTCAATGCACTTCTATAATATCGATATCAAATGAAAGGGCTCGTTGAGAGCAACTCGGAAAATCATTGTTACGTCATTCTAAATCCAATATGGCGGAATAGTTATTTTTAAGTCACTTCTACAATATGGGTATCGTTGAGAGTAACTCGGAAAATAATGTAACGTTATTCTAAATCCAATATGGCGGAACTTCCCAGATGGCGGAATAGTTGTTATTCGTGCACTCTTGCAATATGGGTATCCAATGAAAGGGCTTGCCGAAAATAATTAGAAATAATGATAATTTCACTCTAAATCCAACATGGCACAATATTGAAGTTTTTTGTGCTGCAAATAGGCCTTTTCATTTAGATGACAAATGACTATCTCTGTTAACATCTCGCATCCAACGACAGTGGCGGCCATTTTCACTGAAACACTTACACCACAGTACCACACTCCTCAGTAACGAATAAGTAACGTTTTTTGGAATTAAATTATTATAATACAATTAATACACACCAGGAATATAAAAACAAGAATACTATGTTGTTATTGTTCTTTCTCAATGAGGAATGAGGAATGCCCATGGTGGTTGACGCTGTTGACATTTGACAGAACGTCAATAATACCCGCCATATTCGAAATGGCCAATCAGGATTTTGTGTTGGAACTATAGCTAATGAGACTTCACCTTTGCATTACCCAATGAATTGGTGGATCTAAAAACGAGCGCATGCGTCTTAAAAATATATCTAGATGAAAAGGCCTATTGTATTATGTTGGGCTTGTACAGTACACAAAATGCAAGGTAGTACTGTCGACTTCGCCGTTATTTACTTAGGCTCGAAGCTCCTCGCTGCTGGTAGGGTAAAATCATTAGAAGGTCTCCTTATTGAAGAGCTGGACTGTTCGAAATTAACCGGCAAACGACCTTGCAACAATGATGCGTTGAATGAAATGAACAGCGATAACTAAAAATTCAAAATAAATTGGAAGTAAAAAAAAATTCAATAAAAAGCTTTATTTAAACGCTCTAAAAATAATGAAATAAAATGTTCCTTTATAAATTCAACTTTCAACTTATAACCTCATTATACACAATTTATATGATCATAAAAGCTTGTCCCGATGATATACCGGGTGACACAGGGTATCGGGCCACCCCTGTAACTTCTGCTTTCGTCATGGGATTTTTCTGAAATTCGGTACAGTTATATAAGCAATTATTTCGGATTTGATCACATTACAATCCAATATGGCGGACTTCCGGTATTTCTGGAAATGTCAGCAACTTTGTTTTTTCGAATGAAACACCCTGTATATTTTTACATATTCAAGTTCAACAGGTCGAAACAAGTGCAATCTTTATTTCAAATGTCATTTTTTCGATAAAAATCAAATTAAAATTGTTTTTTCATTTTACCTCGTGGATACATGAGATGTGGTCAAGACTATTCACAATGAGTCACACATAACAGAAGAACATAATTTTTTCTGAAAAATTATTTTTTGTGTCACTTATTCAGGAATCAATTCAGCCACATCACTTTTTAATCAAAAATTATTTTTTTTCATATGGAACCCCTATGGGCCACCTACCCGTTTCTCTAGAACATACATTAAGGAACAAAATGAGATATCATTTTTGTTTTTCGGTGCAGTAACAAATTGTATACATTCAAAAATCAACAACTAGTTTATGAATTTCCTTGCAGTTAGAATAATTTTTCAACTAGGTAGGCTGTGGAATATATGACATTTAACATCAAGATTGCACTTGTTTTGACCTGTTGAACTTGAATATGTTAAAATATACAGGGTGTTCCATTTGAAAAAACAAAATTGCTGGCATTTCCAGAAAAACCGGAAGTCCGCCATATTGGATTGTAATGTGATCAAATCCGAAATAATTGCTTATATAACTGTACCGAATTTCAGAAAAATCCGTTGACGAATGCAGAAGTTACAGGGGTGGCCCGATAGCCTGTGTCACCCGGTATTTAATCAAATTGAAATTTCAAAAACTGAAACTCAGCAGATTTTACAAAATTAAATTAGTACTAGTTTATTCACACAAGTAAATCGCGCGACAAGCTTCCATGATCATATAAATTATGTACAATGAGGTTATAAGTTGATAGTTGAAATTACTTTTCATTTATTATTGAATAACTTGATGGTGGTTTGAGTTAAGCATAGGAAATTCTTGAGTTACTCATCCTCAAATTTACTTTTCTTACATATATGTCAAGAAAATGGTAGGTGTCATGTGTCATTCTAAAGAGTTGCAATCCTTCTGATGTGTAGAGTCACTGGATGTTATTAGTTTGATAAGAGTTCGGACACAGAAATGACAACGGTTAGGGTTTTTGAATGTTTAGATTTATAAAGGTACACACCTTGCATTGTGACAAGAGCACCATAGTCGTCCCGCGCTTTTTCATTAAAAATTGTTTGAATTTGACAATTAATTTTGTAAACGTCAGAATTGAAATACAATTTCATAATTATTATACTTTCGAGATAAGAGCAACTATGGAAATCACTTGCTGTGTAATAAATTGTGCCAATTTTGAAACAAATGGATATCATTTATTCGATATTACAAATCAAATATCAAGCATTCGCTTATGGAAGGAAGATATGAAACAGCCTGGGCGGCAAATCAATTTGAAGACGAGCGAAATTCGTGAGGTAGGTACTCATTGAAATTCACTTCTTATAACAGCATCTGATTAGAATGAATCTATATTTTAGGCCCATTTTCAAACAGAAGTTTTCAAAATCTGTTTAAGAGAATCTGCTGCTCCATCAATTCACAAAGCAGACGATTTCAAGAACAAAATTCCATTATTATCATCACACAAAATACAAAACAAAATAATCATGGAAAAAGGGGAAATGATCGCAAAATAACATTTAGAAATTGAAAATTTGAAAACGAAACTATAAGAAAAGCAAGTAAACTACAACGTGATATATTATTGAATGGCGTTTTTGGTGCTGACCGAATTCAAAATTCAACAGTGAAAAGTGAATACATATTTATGTATCAAGGGAATTATTATAAGGGCCTTAATTACGCTGGAGGTTATCGTTTTGGAGATATTTTCTATATCGATCCATGTTACTTAGCTCCTAGGGAGCTAAGTGAAGTTGCTGAGAACTTTACATAACCAAGAATTTGGTAGGTCTCGTCAAAATAATTAACTTTTTTCCTATGAAATCTTTATCGAAAAATAATTCGTTTTCTGTATTTCAACACCCTAGCCGTATCTCCGAAATGAAACATTTCCGGACACAAGCTTGTATAGACTTCATTTCTCAAAATTGTCTCAGAAATACTTCAATGGAGTACAGTTTCACATACAATGAGGAATTATAGCTATAAGTTTATCCATATCTATATATTTTCTGATTTTAAAATGTTGTTACATGCATTTTTTTTTATTTATATAATAGTTGCTCTGCTAGAAGTGTATCACTATGAATTGAAGTGGGTGTTTGTACCCTATATCCAGTGTCCATCTACGGCTATGATTGATTTGACAGAAAATATAACCTCTAAAATCGTATGTGACAATCAGGCGCTACTAGGGAAATTGAAAAGATGAAGAGCAGAATATATGTCTTATTCTTTTATTCACTTAAACCATTGTATTATAGAAAATAGAAAAGGACAAAAGTTCAGCTGTGTCCGAACTCTTATCAAACTAATACCATCCAGTGACTCTACTGATGTGTGCTCTACGTTTATGATGTGTGGTCTACGTATTCTTGCATGTCAACGTAAATGAAAATATTAAATTAACATTCCAGCTGAAAGTGTGCCCTAAGAGTGTATGCATATCCACGGTGGGTGTGAGAAAGGACCTTTTCCAAAGGAACCCCGACGAGGTTCCTGTGACGGATTTTTTCGGTTCGGTGCGACCGATCGATTTGATGGATCAAGTCGCCATTGAACCGCTGGTAGTCGATGTTGGTCAGCGGAAAGTGGTGCCCAGTACCAAGAAGAGGAAGTACGCCTATGTTCAGCCAATAGTCAATGTTGATACAGTGTCCTTGTGATGTGAGTAAGAGTGAATAAACTAGTCTTTTTTGAAAATAGGTTTTTCCTCTGTGATTCCTCTTGAAGGACTCAAAATTTAACTGAGTCATTGCGTTACCACCGATACAACAAGGCCAGCAGACTCTGACGTAAACAGCTCGTGACGTCACCAAAAGAGGCCAGTGTTTTATTTTATCGTTTGTCGACTAACGCGTCAGTTCGTGTTAATTCATCGGTGATTCACGTATGTTTTTGAAACGGTCCCGAATTCTTTTGTTGTTTATTCATCAAAATAATTGGCGGAAAAATTACTGTTTTGTGAAATATTTTGTGTTGTGATCGGCGAAATAACAATGCCTTTCAAGTGTTGTGTTCCCTTTTGTCGGGGGAATTATGTGGGTGGTTCAAAAGTTCATGCTTTTAGTTTCCCGTTGGACGAGGAGCTATCGCAAATGTGGGTATATGCAATTCACCGCGAGGATTTTACTCCATCTAAGTTCAGTAGATGAAAAATGGAAAAGCTTTGATTGTGCAGTTAGTTTTGTATTCGTATATTATAGTCAACAAAATCATCTCTGAATTCGAGGAAATTTTCTTGAATGTTCGTAATAAACGGGCATTTTTAATTCTCATTCTCAAATTTCTTTCTGAAAACGGTCATTTGCCTCGTGGCAATGAATGCAGAATTCATTCCAATGATCAAATTGCAACTATCATATTAACATGAACTACAATCACTCTACTTAAAAAGGTAAAACTGCATTTATCATGAAGATATTTGACTAAAAAGTTCCAAATTTCACCTTCTTTTTCACCTGTCTTCTGGATGGCATTTAGAACAAATTTCCCTTCTTTTTTCATCATATTGGACAATTTATATATAATTCAACTATAAATAAAAGATTGAAATCTAATTTTATTTTAACAGGAAACAATGAAATTCATAATTATCAAACTAGACAACATGGTTTATTTCATCTTGATATCGCTAATACTTCTATAGGACAAAAAAGATTCACCCACGCTGCTCTCTTGGAATATAACAAATTACCAGATGATATAAAAAATTGCAGAAATACAATAAAATTCAAATACCATCTTAAAAAATTTATCATTTCTGAACGAAATAGATGACTTGTTTTTTTTTTCCAACTTTTGATTCATATTCAAATTGATTTTTGCTCACCAATATGAAATGATTTGTCAAAATTTAATAATTAATGTTTTCAAATATTTTATTATTCATCAGTTTATTATAATTGTATAGTTTTAGGTATTATTGTTAACTATACTTCCTTATACCAGAACTTGATTCTGATTGGAAGTAACATTTTCAATAAATAAATAAATAAATAAATAAATAAATAAATATGATTTTCTTGAGATTAATCCATATTTAGTGAGAAGAAGGAAGAATATCATTCAAAATAATGGCGTGTGTAATGTCATTCGAAAGCAATCTATTGACATTTGACATCTCGTATTTTGATTGACTATTGATTAAATGGTCGTCATCTGGAATGCTTGTTCACTAAATATGAAAAACTCGCCATAAAAATCATATTTCCTGTTGAATTTTCTATATAAAAATGTGCCATCGAAATACATCATGAGTATATTAAGTTTCCAATGACAAAATAAGAGCAAGTAGCTTCAAATGCCCCCAACACAAGGGGAGAAAGAAGGCGAAATTTCGAACTTTCTCTTGAAATATCTCAATAAATAGTGGTTTTTTCACATTTTCATTATAAAATTCGGTTTATCAGACAAAAATACGTGAGTACCGAAAAAAAATTTCCAAAAAAAAAACCATCGCATGATAAATGCAGTTCTACCCTTGAAAATTATGGTTTCAAGTGTAACGATCCACTTGGGTGAAAAATCCAACAACAGAAAATTAAAAAAAAAACTGGTTATTTTTTCAGGTAATAGGAATTCTCCAAGATAAATAAAGGTAATTGTAACAAACGGCATGTCAATCAAAATAAAATACATTTTCCACAATTTTCTTTCGATCAATCTCACGATAAGTTTAGGTTCTGCGGGCCCTGTATAAGTAGGTGTGAAGTTTACCTTCACCACAATTTTTGCCAATATATTTGATTCAAATGGGTTGCTGTAGGTGGATATTTGTGTTTTATCCTGGTTTTTGCTTTAAAACGACTGGCATCCTTTTTTAACCGGAAGCCCTTCAAAAAACAGCAAAATCGGCTCAATGATGATCTAAAACCAAAATCGAAATACGCGGTCGCCTTATAGCGCTATAAGCGCTTGTCGTTACGAGCCGCTGGTTAGGCCTCACTAAGTGACGGTCATTGTCGTTCTAGACAACCTAGTTAGGTAGTTAGTAGGCAAAAGTATTGAACGAACCTCCTCGCGTACTAGGTCGCCTACTAGGTTTACCATTTACGTTTGCAACAGCTCCAGACCGTCAACGACGATTTGGAAAGGATCTAACAATGGGGCAATTTGAATCTCGTACAATTCAACGCTTTGAAGACTCAAGCAACATATTTTTCTAAGAAGGCTAACCGTGCGGGTCCTGATACAATTATGACTGGAAGAACCTTACCAATCAGTTCATCACTATCAATGCTCGGCATCACGGTATCTGACAGTTTATCTTGGCATGACCATGTTGCCAATATAGCCAGAGCTGCCTCTCAAAAGCTGGGATTCCTCTTCCGCGCGAAGAAGTATTTCACCTCACAACAGCTTCTGACACTCTACAAAGCCCAGATTTGACCAGTCCTTGAGTACTGTTCGCACGTCTGGGGATCAGCTCCAAAACACTCCCTGAGGTTGCTGGAGTCGGTTCAAAGAAGAGCCATCAGGCTCATCAATGACCCAACTCTGACAAGATCACTGCAAAATTTCACTAATAGTTCATTTCCACCACTGTCCAAATCCGACGGCACATTAGCAACAACATCGCAGGAGAAAGTAAATATTTTTGCAGAGATGTTCGCAGCAAACTCTACTTTAGATTCCCAAGGAAACTGCCGCCAGACATTCCACCCGTTGAGAGTCGAATGCCCGAAATCGTCTTCCGTCAACGCACCATCAGACGAATTTTGTTTGGTCTCAAAACGAATAAGGCTAACAGTCCTGATGGAATTCCACCGATCATCCTCAAAAAATGTGCACCAGAATTAACACCGATTCTCTACAAGTTGTTTACCATCTCGTACAGGTCGCGTATTTTTCCATCATGCTGGAAGACAGCTAGAGTCCAACCAATCCCCAAAAAAAGGGAACAAGAACCTGCCCAACAACTACAGGCCCATTGCCCTGTTATCAGTAATCTCCAAAGTGATGGAGAAAGCCATCAATATTGAGCTTATCAAATATCTGGAGAGCTCAGGAATCATCAATGATAGACAATACGGCTTTCGCCACCGAAGATCTACTGGAGATCTACTTGCCTACGTCACCCATTTATGGCAATCTTCATTAGAAAAACACGGGGAATCTCTAGCTGTCGCGTTGGACATATCGTAAGCATTCGACCGTGTTTGGCAAGAAGGACTCCTCCACAAACTACCATCATACGGCTTACCACCTCAGCTATGCCATCTCTTATCGAGTTTTCTTTCAGGCAGATCGCTCCACGTGGTGGTGGACGGTGTATCGTCTGATACCATTGGCATCAATTCCGGCGTTCCACAAGGATCAATTTTGGCACCAACATTATTCCTGCTTCATATCAATGATCTGTTGGGAGTAACAACTTGCCCCATCCACAGCTTTGCAGATGATAGTACCCTCCATACTGCGTTCTCTTCCAGAATTCCCATTTCTTCCCAGGAAACTAAGAACTCACGGCGCAGGCAGGTCAATGCTGTCAATGAAGATCTCGCTGAAATCACAGCCTGGGGAACGAACAACCTAGTTGAATTCAATGCCACCAAAACTCAATCCTGCATTTTCTCTAGAAAGGCGGGACTCAGTATGCCCGATATTGTAATGTCTGGCACCACCGTCCCCACCATATCTATGCTCGGTATTTCCATCAGCAACACTCTTTCATGGGATAACCATGTCAGATCCATCGCAAAAGCTGCTTCACAAAAACTCGGATTCTTGTTCCGTGCGAAAAGCTACTTTACACCTCAACAGCTTCTCATGATCTACAAAGCGCAGATACGGCCTGTTTTAGAATACTGTTCCCACATATGGGGTTCAGCACCAAAACATACGCTGATGCTCTTAGATTCCATCCAGAGAAGAGCCATTCGCCTGGTGGGTGACGCCACACTCACTCACCCTTTGACATCATTGGAACACCGTAGAAAGGTCGGGGAGCTCTCACTTTTCTATCGATACTTCCACGGGAAATGTTCTTCGGAAATCTCTGCTATCATCCCTTCACTAGCAATACCAATCAGACGAACTAGACAAGCCCAGTCAGCACATCCTTTCGTTGTCAACCTCGAAAGATGTCGAACAGCACTTTATCAAGACTCCTTCATCCATAGAACGGCTAGGCTCTGGAATTCATTGCCTGTGGAAGTATTCCCAACAACATATAATCTCCAAAAGTTAAAAAAAAATTCCATTACCTACCTCCTGTCAATATCCTCCCTAGGAACGCACGATGTTCTTTGAACATTATAGGGATTCCCTTTCGTGCGCTCCAAGCGATAAAAAAATGTCCAACATCGGAGAAACGTTGCAGACCTATCACTCTTCTATCGCTACTATCATGGACGATGCTCTGTTGAATTGTCATCAGCTGTCCCCCCTGGAATGACCTTTGTTCGCCAAAAGCGGCTGGCTCTAGTCTCACACCAATATGCAGTCAAAATTGAAACACCTACAACAACATATTTCAAGAACTCCTTTTTTTGTAGGACATCTTCACTGTGGAGTTAGTTCTTTGCAAACAGATGTATTTCCAGCGAACTACAATCTATTTTTACCTTCAAGAGGAGGATCCATCGATATTTGTCCCTCCTTAGTGCTCGCAGTTCCACCTTTTGCGAGCACTTCCGAATAAAAAGGACAATGACTGAGTCCTCAATCAGCAACTTTGGTTTTCTTTCGTGGTGGT